TCGTCCACTTTCATCTGTACTGTATAACAATGAATCGCTCTTACAGATTAAGCATTTCCCGTAACCTTAATAATATAAAGTTACAGTTGCAAGTGTTATGTAGAGGGAGATGCTGTACATGTTTTATTGTCACATTGAAATTAAATGTGATGACAATGGTACAGGTTTGTGTCAACTTTTATGTCTAAATTCTACAGTATGTACAAATGACATGTGATTCTTATTTACTGGCTTATTTTAAATATTTTTCACAAACGTGCAGCTTGACTTAGTGATATCACAAGTAACCTTTGTGCATAATGTGCCTGTGTATTCAACATTAACTAAAAAAAAAAAAAACTGACTTGGTAACATTAAATCTTATAGATTGTGCAGTTGATGACCATTACAAGTCTAATGTACAAAATAAAATTAACTGAAGGGTACATTAACCAGGTACCAGGGAAGAAATAGTTTACGATGATCGGCACAAGATTAAAATTCATATGAAAAAGAAAGTACTTCAAAAGGTATTGGTTAGCCTAAAGGAAATATTTTTCTATAGGAATTATTGATCTTAATCGCTAAGACTCCTCCCTATTTGCCTGTTGAATGCTATTAAATATAAAAAAGTTTAAAATCATGTGGAAATATATGTAGTGTTTTAATATGGGTTATAACAAGGATTTTTAAGGTTTTCTAGAGTAAAGATTTTGCATAGCTATCTGTGAAAGTATTATCAACTACTTAAATTTACTCTGTTTAAAATAATGTTTGGATTTATGTACTGTGTTGAAATTAATAATAGTTTTTTTTAATAGTGGCATGGAGGAATCTACAGGAATCAGTTCATAACATTTAATATTTTGTATCGCTGGTCTTAAATCACAGTTGAGTATTTATGCTTTTATTCTTACTCTTACTTGTGATACTAATGTCAAGATTTGTCTAATGATTTTGGACACAGTTTGCTATACAATTTACAAATTTCTAACACTATACAATATATAAAATTCACCTAAAACAGTGCGTGTGTTTTATATAACACAAATTTTGTTTGGTCATTAGAAGTAAAGAAAGCTCAAGGAAAAGTGCTGGCTACTACTCTACCTAAAGACCTGGAATTAAAATTCTTCAATTTCTAAGCTGTTGAGGACTCATCTTGTCGTTGATTGCTGCAGCGATAATGACATCGCCATAATGATCAGCGCTTCTTCTAGGAAGCGTCTGCTTGTCAAGCAATAGGAAGTCATTCTTCCACCACCTCTGAGGACAAAAGCCAGTGCGAGATAGATCGATCCAAACATCTGTATGCATATACCAAACGACAATCGAGTTGGCATCGAAGAAAACAACGACTGGGCCAAGACTGAAGAAGTGGTACTGTTCTCCAAGTACCCAAGAATGCTGAAGATTATGCTTCAAGGAAGTCTCACAGCTTTGCAAGAATGAATCAATATCTGACAATATTGGAAATAAATGGTATAAAATACCGACACAATGGAAATATAAACACATATGCAGTATAATGTGATCCTTTATTGACTACGTTTCGCTCACACAGTGGGCTTTTTCAAGTCACAAACAGAACTACCTGGGGTGGAAGGAACGCGAGTATTTATAGTCAGGTTCAGAATGCTGAGGTCAGGTGGAGAATGCTGCATCTGATGATGTACCGAGTGGGGTTATAGAGTGTAAAATCTTGGGTAGCTTGGAAAGGAGATTGAATAAGTTTGTGAGCAGACCCCCCACAGTGTTCTCATGTGGGATAGCGATAGCTACCCAAGATTTTACACTCTGTATGTAAAGTAAAAGGACACAAGTGCAACTAATGTGACATTTATTGTGGCAACGTTTCGCTCTCCAGGAGCTTTATCAAGCCATTACAAACAATACATGGACACAGAGGGTATATAAAGGCTCAGAGTGAGGTGAATACTAGTGAGGTACCATTTCGTTGTTCACTAGTGGTAGTAGTAGTAGTAGTAGTAGTGGTAGTGACAAAAGTAATACAATATGGTAGAGCAATTAATTCGTACATGAGTGAAAGGATATAAAAGCTATTACTTGGGTAACATAAAAATAGGTTGGACAAATATAAACTGGAATGAGGCAGCTTGTTTCAGTGTTCACTCTCTGTGCTTTGTGTAGTATAACAGGAGAGACTATGTGATGGCAGGGTTTACTGTTTTCAGGAGGATTCTTGCTAAGACTTCGGAGATGGTGAAGCTGCTGCTGTTTTGTTTAATTGTATTCGAAACAGCGATCAGTGCTGATTCGAGGCACTTGCGTCTGCGGAAATTAGTTTCTTTGATCACTAATTGGGCGTCTCTGAATTTCATGAGATGATTGGTGGAAATTTCGGTGTTGTACACAGGCGTTGTTCAGGTTATCGTTCCTACATGCGTAAATGTGTTCATTGAGGCGGGTGTCGAGGTTTCTGGCTGTTTCACCTACGTAAATCTTGTCACAGCCTCCACAGGGTATAGTGTAAACTCCTGCATTGACTGGTTCGTGGTGCTTGGATTTTGTCCTGGTTATATCCTTTATTGAAGTGCTAGAAGCGATGGCGACTCTGGTGTTAGCTTGTGAAAGTGCTTTTGAGACGTTCATGCAACCTGACTGTTGGGAAAATTATAACTTTGCGGGGAGTGGTGTTGATGCGTGGAGAATTTTATGGATCTGAAGAGCTCTTTTCTTGCAATCTTTGATGAAAAAAGAAGGAAAATGTAACTGTGAATGTTTGGTGAATGAAATTACACTCCTCGTCAAGAAACTCAGGACTGCAAATTCGGTATGCCCCTTGGGAAAAACCCGATGATGATGCCTTCTTTTGGTCTTGGTATCTTGACTAGAATAGAAGTGTGTGAGATCATTTTTTTTGTGTGGTTTTCGATAAACTTGAAATCTTAGGTTGTTGTCTACTTTGTGAATGAGGACGTCGAGGAAAGGTAGCTTGTCATTGGACTCTTCTTTAGGTAAACTGGATCGCCGGTTCAACTGCGTTGAGCCTTGCCTGAAGATCCCGTACATCAAAACGTTTTGGAGTTATTACGAGGACATGGGTCCACGTAACGTAACCAAGTGACGCTTGAAGGGATGATGTTGGCGAAGTGTTCGGACTCTAGGTGTTCCATGTATAAGTTGGCTAGAATGGCACTGATGGGGGACCCCATTCCCATGCCGTAGGTTTGTTTGTAGAGCTTGTTATTGAAAGAAAAACAGTTGAAATTAACACAGAGTTCAATTAAGTCAACAAAATCTCCGGGAGGTAGAGGAAGATTAAGGTCCTGATTGACTTTACGTCGTAGAACCTCGATGGCTTTTTTTGGTAGGTACTTTTGTGAAGAGGGAAGTCACATCCAAACTGCTTAGTTTCTTGTTACGGATGGAGAGGTTACGGATGCGGTTGAGAAGGTCACCTGAGTGTTTAAGATGAGCGGGGCTGATGGTCCCCAATGGTCATGAAATTCAGAGACGCCCAATTAGTGATCAAAGAAACTAATTTCCGCAGACGCAAGTGCCTCGAATCAGCACTGATCGCTGTTTCGAATACAATTAAACAAAACAACGGCAGCTTCACCATCTCCGAAGTCTTAGCAAGAATCCTCCTGAAAACAGTAAACCCTGCCATCACATAGTCTCTCCTGTTATACTACACAAAGCACAGAGAGTGAACACTGAAACAAGCTGGCTCATTCCAGTTTATATTTGTCCAACCTATTTTTATGTTACCCAAGTAATAGCTTTTATATCCTTTTACTCATGTACGAATTAATTGCTCTACCATATTGTATTACTTTTGTCACTACCACTACTACTACTACTACTACTACTACCACTAGTGAACAACGAAATGGTACCTCACTAGTATTCACCTCACTCTGAGCCTTTATATACCCTCTGTGTCCATGTATTGTTTGTAATGGCTTGATAAAGCTCCTGGAGAGCGAAACGTTGCCACAATAAATGTCACATTAGTTGCACTTGTGTCCTTTTACTTTACATATTGTCGGTAATTCTACCAACTTTATTACATTTTACACTCTATAACCCCACTCGGTACATCATCAGATGCAGCATTCTCCACCTGACCTCAGCATTCTGAACCTGACTATAAATACTCGCGTTCCTTCCACCCCAGGTAGTTCTGTTTGTGACTTGAAAAAGCCCACTGTGTGGGCGAAACGTAGTCAATAAAGGATCACATTATACTGCATATGTGTTTATATTTCCATCTGACAATATTACATCAACCCGCGAGAAATCTCTCAGGAGCAATACCGCCACAGGACACCATGCTGGAACTGCTATCGATACAATCACTATGATTCTGACTGACCCCAGGAAAGATTCTGTCTTTTACTCTGAGTGTGGGGGAGTAGGCACTAATTCACCGACTGCTACAACAAAGAATGACCAACCTGTCTGAATTTTGGAGGAGAGTACCGCACAATAGCAGCCAAACGTCCTGCGAAGAAAGAGCTTGTCACCAAGAAAAAAGTCGAAGCCAAGCCTCAACTGAACTCCACTCCATTCAACTCAGCAGATGCAACCAAAGCCAGGGACAGCATTCTTCTTTCCTATGTCAAAAGCCCCAGCTGCCATTCCAACACATCTCTCTCAAGAAAACGCAAACAGCCAAGTTCCTCACAGATATTATCTTTGCTTACCTGCATAACATAGCCCGATCTGGATCCTTAAACATAATACTTAACGCAATCTTCTGCATAAACAATCTCTCATAAATAAACCTCCCAGATGATTTAGTCAGCTGACGCACTAAGTGTCGTCAACATTACGCTATGTTCCGAGGAGTCACCATACTTCCCCCCCCTTTCACAGGAAATTACCTTCAGATATTTTCACAAGACAGCCGCTTGTTAGCCTTGTGCCTCAGCTTCTTTTTAGAAATTTATTCATAATATAATCACAAGACAGCCTTCGTACTTATTAAGAAAGAGCCAGCGGACCCAGTGAAAAAAAAAATAACAATCCTACCCCTCCCCCCCCCCAAAAAAAAAAAAAAAAGTCAGCGACCCTACATAAGATCCGGCACCAGCCAAACGGTTCCCTTTAACGAAAAAAAATCTTCTACGATTGCGTTTACACCACGAAATACACTCCATGAACTCTTTGCCGAGGACTCTGTAGTGGCAGAATCAAATATGCCTACTATCCATCATTCAACATCTTCCAAAAAGTCTTAGACATCCTCGAAGATAGACAAACCTACAGGAAACAAATACAGTATTTTATCACTACATACGGTGCCCCGTGGTCTGGTGGCAAAAGCTCTCTGCTTCACATGGTGAGGGTCCGGGTTCGATTCCCGGCGAAAGGGTGGAAACATCGGACGTGTTTCCTTACATCGGTTGTCTATATCACCCATCAGTAAAATAGGTACCTGGGTGTTAGTCGACTGGTGTGGGTCGTATCCTGGGACAAAATTGACCTAATTTGCCCGATGTACCCTGATAACAAGCAGCTTTCTATGTAATAGTATGTCATTGATGTCAGCTAGGCCTGTATACTTTGTACATGTACTTGTAGCAAATAAAGATATTATTATTATTATTATTATTATTATTATTATTATTATTATTATTATTATTATTATAGTGCGAGACTGAGTGCTTCCAACATGTGCAGAATGGACCCACTTAAGACCTAGTCCAGCCTTCAACATAAGAGGGACGCTAAACCACCCACCCCTAGAAGTGAACTCTTCATTTAAATTATTAACAAAAAGTTTACCTTAAAGAATGGATAGGCAACTCATTTATCTCCTGCTGATTACCTATAACTATTTTCTATCATTTCGTGCTTACCCATCTACTCCCTGCCCTCAGTCCCTCTCTTCTAGTCATTACTCTTATGATGACTTATGGTCTTAGTGTATTTTAAATCTGTTTTCATAGTAGTATATATCCGTTAAAAAAGAAGTAACACGTGAATGAGAAAACTAAGACACAGAGAAGTATAGCTAAATATATAGTGAATTTAAGTAAAAGTTTGTAAGAGTTGCAGCTAACTTATCCATGAGACAGAAAAAATCAACAAGCCTGCCAGAGTGCAGAAGCTTCAACTGATCCTATTTCACACACATGACAGGAAAGTACTACCTCCCTGGTATTGTTTAATTGCAAGTTGTTATTATAATTATAATCGATAACATGGATTACATTAACATGTGTTGATAACAATGTATTGAGCTATGGGACACGAAATGGCTGTGGACAAATGCCTTCCTAAGGTGTAAAGGACACGGCGTTCTTTAAGAAATTTATCACAGGGATGCGTCACTAGTGCCAGAATGAGAGTAAACACGGAACTAACAAACACTACCGAATGCCAAGTGAAGGTTAAAGAGAAATGAAGATCTAACGTAGGTGATGCATTAAATCTGTGGAACAAAATTGGTTCCACCAGCCAAATATTTGGTCAAACATTTATTTACTAAAAATATCGGTTCAGGCAGAAAAATATTTGGTTGACGACCCACAGGATGGGCATGGGGTGTATAATAAAGATACTAAACTGAGTATATATGAGGTATAAAAGTAGTTTAACACATGCCAAGTAGCCACTTCTTAATGTAACACTCGCCAAATATAGATCATGCTACATGTTACGATTTTGTGGGGAGATGAAATACAAGGTGTGAGTGGTGAAGTGGCCCATGGCTGGTGTAGTTAAGTGGTGAGGTGGCCCATAGCTGGTGTATTGAGTGGTGAGGTGGCCCTTAGCTTGTGTAGTGAGTAGTGAAGTGGCCCATAGCTGATGTAGTGAGTGGTGAGGTGGTCCATAGCTGGTGTAGTGAGTGGCGAGGTGGCCCATAACTGGTGTAGTGAGTGGTGAGGTGGCTCATAGCTGAAGTGAGTGGTGAGGTGGCCCATAACTGGTGTAGTGAGTGGTGAGGTGGCTCATAGCTGGTGTAGTGAGTGGTGAAGTGGCCCATAGCTGATGTAGTGAGTGGTGAGGTGGTCCATAGCTGGTGTAGTGAGTGGTGAGGTGGCCCATGGCTGGTGCAGTAAGAGGTGAGGTGTCCCATGACAAGTGCAGCAAGTGGTGAGGTGGTCCATGGCTGGTGCAGTAGGTGGTGAGATGGCCCATGGCTGGTGCAGTAAGTAGTGAGGTGGGTCATGGCTGGTACAGTGAGTGGTGAAGTGGCCCATGGATGGTGATGACAGTCTTCTCCATTAAAACTCACTTTTAACATTAAAAAGCGAACAACCTAGTACTATCTACGTTGAGTATGGAAATAAGTCACTCTGTCTGACTTTTTTGGGTTATCCTAGGTTCTCTACACATATGCTGCTATGTATGATAATTCTATGTAACTGTATTTGTGTATACCTGAATAAACTTACTTACGTACTGACACGTAGCCACCTTCTCAAAATATTCCACACACACCTGATTGCCTCCCATTCCACAGAAGCTGTATGACCCTCACAGATCTAGATCTTACCCAAATAAATCTCTGAATATTTGCCGAATGAGAAGTCGTGTACCTTGGCCATGTTTGCGATGGTCGCTGCCAGTGTCAGCGTGTGTAGTCTGCTGCTCTGAGCTGGTATTGTGTCTGTTGTGGTTACTGCTGTCAGTGTGTGTAGTCTGCTGCTCTGAGCTGGTATTGTGTCTGCTGTGGTTACTGCTGTCAGTGTGTGTAGTCTGCTGCTCTGAGCTGGTATTGTGTTTGTTGTGGTCACTGCTGTCAGTGTGTGTAGTATGCTGCTCTGAGCTGGTATTGTGTTTGTTGTGGTCACTGCTGTCAGTGTGTGTAGTCTGCTGCTCTGAGCTGGTATTGTGTCTGTTGTGGTCACTGCTGTCAGCGTGTGTAGTCTGCTGTTCTAAGCTGGTACTTTTTGGGTCAAGTGATTCCATAGATGTGTTTCTGTGCTTACTCCATGTGTCACCTATGACATGATTGTCACCCATGCTTGGCTTGTCACCCATGTCAGGCTTGTCACTTATGCTTGGCTTGTTACTCATATCCGACTTGTTAATCATGCCTAGGTTGTCATCCACGTCATGCTTAGCATCTGTGTCATGCTTTAATTCCGTGTCATACTTTAGTTCTGTGTCTGGCATGTCACCCATGTCATGCCTGTCAACCATGTCATGCTTGTCACCCATGTCATGCTTGTCATCTGTGTCATTCTTGTCATCTGTATCATGTATGTCACCCATGTCAAGCTTGTCACCCATGTCATGTTTGTCATCTGTGTCATGCATGTCACCCATGTCATGCTTGTCACTCGTATCACACCTGTCACCCGTGTCATGCTTGTCATCCATGTCAAATTTGTCACCCATGTCCTTGTCACCTGTGTCATACATGTCACCCATGTCATGCTTGTCACCCATATCATGCTTGTCACCCATATTATGCTTGTCATCAGTGTCATGCTTGTCATCAGTGCCATGCTTGTCACCTGTGTCTATGTCACCCGTGTCATGCTTGTCACTCATATGCTTATCACTCATGTCATGCTTGTCACCCATGTCATGCTTGTCGCCCATGTCATGCTTGTCACCGGTATCATGCTTGTCACCCACGTCATGCTTGTCACCCACGTCCTTGTCACCTGTATCATGCATGTTACCCATTTCATGCTTGTCACCCATATCATGCTTGTCATTAGTGTCATGCTTGTCACCTGTGTCATGTAAGTCACCCATGTCATGCTTGTCACCTGTATCATGCTTATCACCTGTGTCATGCATGTCACCCATGTCATGCTTGTCATCTGTGTAATGCATGTCGGCCATGTCATGTTTGCCACCCATATCTTCCTTGCCACGACAGGATGAGTGGTCTAATACAGAAGACTCTGCTCTCTCGTCCTGTACTGTCATATTACTTGTGTTGTCATCATCCCCTTTTGCTTCACCTTGATGAGACACACCGACATGTTCCCTACCACTCTCAGAATGATTTGAAGGATTTCTTCCATTTCTCGTGCTGTCGTGAGAGTCTTGTACGATTGGTTCTTCACTCTCTGTTGTAGTCTGTATTTCCTGAAGTTGGCTCGTGGCTGTAGGAAAAATGGTTGATAATACGGGTAATGCTGGTGTGAAAGTAGCTACTTTTGGGCTTTCTGTGTTGCTGGCACTTAAGTTCGGACCATGAGGCTCTTTCTCAGTGTTGTTGAAACTAGGGGTTTGTTCAGGCCGGGCATATTCTGCCAACATGGGAAAAATGTTGGCTTGTTCTCCTGTGGGTGCGCTGCTTTCCATTCTCTCTCTTTCAGTTTCATTATTCAAATGTTCTTGTTCTGCCATGAATGCTGTTTCATTGTTTATTGTTTCATTCCTTGGGTCTAAAGCTGAATCTTCTTTTACTAAAGTTCCTGCTGCCTCGGGATCATGAACAAAGATCGGCCCCACGGTTAGTGAAATGCTAGAATCAGACCTTCCTGAAGCGCTGAAATAATTTTGTTCATCGTGGTTTTCTGCATTCTGACTATGTCTGTTACGTGGTAATGAATCATCCTCACTTTGTTTGTATCCTTCAATATTCTCATCAGTGTTTGCACCGGAAGTGTTTGGAAGTTTACCTTCATTTATTTTTGGGTCTGTTCCTTCATGGGTGATCTCCATGTTACATGGCTTTACCATATCTATGAGATGTTGATGTGTTGTGTCATCAGAGACTGAGGAACTATTTATTTGCTGACTGACAGGGTCTTCAGCCACTTGTATTTGTTCTTCCTTGAAAGTAACATTGCTGCATTTATCTTCATGGGGTTGAGTCATAAGTTCAGTGGAATTCTCTGGATTGTGTGATCTTAGACTTTCATTTGAGCTGGAGTCACTTTCTAGAGCCTTTCTCTTGCTTCTTTTTCTCTGGAGACTGGAGGAGTCTTCAAAATACTGGACTTCCTGAACATTCCCATCATTGGCGTTAAGATTGCGAGATATTTTGTGTAAGGTCCGATCCTTGTCTAGCTGGCGGTGACTTCTTCGCAATTTTTTAATAAATTTCTTTTTGTGTTTTGGTGTTGTTGTCTGGTCAGGGCAGTCAGTGTGCAGCCACCCTCTCTGTTGATAAAAAAGTTCAGTATTAATACAAAAGTTTACCACATTCACTATTCTCACTGAAACATTGTATAATACTTCACTAATATATAACAGTGCTGATTGACTCTTACATGTCTTACACTAATGAATACAAAATTTTTTCCCCAAATTAATTTTTAAATTGGTTTCCCCTTTGGGTTTTGGTTTTGTTATAATAAATTTTTCGCCTAAATCTTTCAAAGGTTTCCTTTTAAAGCTGAATTTTTTTATTTAAAATTGGGTTCCCAAGGGGAAAATCCCCCTTTGGGGATATTTTAAACCTTTTTCTTTTTTTTTTTAAGGGTTTAAAAATCCCAACCCTAAATTCCCTTGGACGGAATTTTGTTGGAATTTTTTTTTGGGGCCCCTTTTTTTAATTTTCTTTTTGGGTTTTGGTTTTTTCTTGGGGATCGGGGCCCCAAACTTGAGGAAAAAAATTTCTTTTCATTTTAAAAACCTGACAAATTTTGCTTTTAACATCTTCCTTTAAAATTTTTTTCCTAAGTCAAAAAAACCCAAAAATTTCCCCTTTTCAATTTTTTTTAAAAATTTTCTAGGGTTTTCCCCAAAAAAATAAAATATCTTTTTTTTTGTTTTTGGCTTCCACAGAAAACCCCTGAAAAAATTTTTTTTTCCCCTTATTTATAAAATTTAATAACCCCAAAAGCACTAAAATTCCCTTAAAATAAAAATTTTAAAGGCCAATCTCTCCATTTTCAAAAACTTAAAACTAAACCAATAAACATTTTCCCAAAAAGGGGTTTTTTGGGAATGAAAATTTTCCCCCCAACAAAATGCTTAAATTTTAACCTTTTAAAAATAATTTATCCCAAAAAAATTTAAATTAAAAAATATTTATATTTTTTTAAAAAAATTTAAATTTAAAAATTTTAAAAATAAATAATTTTAAAAAATTTTTAAAATTTTTTTAAAATTTTTAATTTATTTTAAAAAATTTTATATAAAAATTTTATATAAATTAAAAATATAAATTTTTAAAAAATAATATAAATTAACCCATAAATTTTTTTTTTTTAAAAAAAAAATTAATAAAAAAAAATTTTAATTTTATAAAAAAAATTTTGATAAATTTTTTAATTAATAATAAAAAAAATAAAAATTTTTATATTATAAAAAATATTTATCTAATTTAAAATTATTAAAATTTAAAAAATTTTTAAATTTATATTTAAAATATAATATATTATTTTTTATATAATATTTAATTTAAAAATTATATTATATATAAAAAATTAATATTATATATATATTTTTATATATTATATATATTTTTAAAATTTTTATATATATATATAAAAAAATTAATTTTTTATATATATTAATTTTAAATAAAATTTATTTTTAAATATATTATATAAAAATTTATATAATATATTATATATATTATATATATTATTAATATATTAAATTAAATATATATATAAATTTATATAAAATTATAAAAATATATATATATATATAATATATATATAAAAAAATTTTATTTTTATATATTTATATATATAATATATATATATATATTATATATATATATATATTATATATATTATATTATATATTTATATATATATAATATATATTATATATTATATATTTTTAAAATTATATATTTTTAAATAATATATATATATTTTATATTATATATAATATATATAAAAATATATATATTTTAAATTTATTATATATATATATATTTTATATATAATATAAAATATTATTATATATTAATAATATATTATTATAATATTTTAATAAAAAATTTATTTTATATATATATATATATAATTATATATATATAATTTTTATATATATTTAATTTTATATATATATATTTTTAATTATTATATATATTTTAAAATATATATTTTTTAAAATATATATATATTTTATAAAATATATATTATATATAATATATATAAAAATATAATAATATATAAAAATATTATATATATAATATATATTTTATATATATTTATATTTAAAAAAATATTATTTATATTAATATATTTAATTAAATATTTATTTTATTTATATAAAATATATAATATAAAAATAAAATTTATATATAATATATATATATATTATATATATTATAATTATATATAAAATATAATAATATAATTAAAAATTTATTTATTTAATTTAAAAATATATTTTATTTTTTAAATATTTAAAAATATATTATATATAATATATTTATATATATAAATATATATATAAAAAATATAATATTTTATATAAAAATATATTTTAATATATTATATATATATAATATAATATTAAAAAAATTTATATTAATATATAATAATATATTTAAAATATTTAAAAATATTATATTTATTTATATATTTAAAAAATAAATAAAAAATATAAAAAATTATTATATAATTTTAAAAATAATATATTTATATATATATATATATATATTTTAAATTATATAAAAATTAAAATATATTATATATTATAAAAAATTAATTATTATTATAAAATATATTTTATAAAATAATATATTTTTAAAAATAAAATTATATATATATATATATAAAATATTTATATATTATATATATATTAAAATATATAAATTATATATATTTATATAATATATATATATATATATATTATTTTAATATATAAAATATATATATATTTATATTTTTATATATAAAAAAAAATTTTTTTAATTTAATATATAATATATATATTTTAAATTTTAATATATATAATATTATATATTATATATATATATATATATATATTATAAAAAATATATAAAAAATTAATTAAAATTATATATATATATTATTAATTATTTAAAAATATATATATATATATTATATTTATAAATTATATATATATATATATATTATATATATATATATAATTTTATATTTATATATATTTATATTATATATATATATAATATTTTTATATTTATATTATATAAAAATATTATATATATATTTTATATATTAAAATATTATATATATATATATATTTTATAATATATTTTATTTAATATATTTATATATATATAAATTATAATATATTAATATAATATATTATATATATTTTTAAAAATAAATAATAAAAATATTATATATATATGTCGTCCCGAAATAAAAAAGTCAATTACAAGACCAACTAAAATTAAGCCCTTTTCAAAAATTTTCATTGATACTTTAAAAAGATAATATTTTCAATAATGTTGAGTAAAAATTTAAAATTTTGCCCAAAAGGGAAACTTAAAAAATTTACCTAACCTTATTAAAAAAGCGAATTTATTTTAGCCTAACCCAACTAAAAAATTTTTTAGATTTGTTTACAATAATTTAATATAAACAAAAACAGTTAAAAAATTTTTTTTCGTTAGGTTTTCAGAATGTTTTTCGCAAAATTTTGCATAAAAAAAATTTTTTCATTTGCCCTATAGGCAAGATGATTTTTGCTATTAACCCAAGATCGAAAATTCTGCCATTCGGCACACATAAAATATATATTATTATATTAATTATATATATTTATATATTATTAATATATATAAAAATTTATATATATATTATTATATATATTAAAATATATATATATATATATAAATATTATATTATATATTAAATATATATATATAAAAATATTATTAATAATATATATTATATATATATATAAAAATATATATATTATATTTATATATAAATATTTAATATATATATTTAAGTGAAGTATGGGGCCTTTAAACCAAGTGAGAGGAATTGTGGTAGGGACCTAATGCAAAAGTAGGAGAAATTTTTAGAGGGGGTTGGTAGTAATTTTGGGGTGCCAGGTGTAAATGATATGGAGCCCTTTGATTGAACTTTTTTATAAAAAGGGGGTTTGTTTTAGGAAATACATATTTTATGAAAAAGAGGAAAAAAGTATACAAGATATGTGTAGGGCAAATGACAGTGTTTGTTTTGGGTTTTGTATTGGTAGATAAAAACGTTAGAACTTCAGAGTACATGTTTATAGAGGGGCCAATATTCAATCACTTTCTAGTTTACTAAAATGAGAGTAAAAGGAGAGGGGTACAAGGAGAATAGAGCCAAAAGGGAAAAGAGAGGTGAAGGGGTTTTTAAATTATATATATATATATATTATATATATATATATTATTATATATATATAAAATATAAAAAAAATATATTAATTTTAATTATATATATTATAAATTTTTATATAATAAATACATAATATATATATATATAATATATATATATTATAATTATTTATATATTATTAAAATTTTTTTTTTTTTTTTTTTCAACAAATCGGGGCCCCCAAGGGGGTCCAAAAAGGAAAAACCCAAAAAGAAATACTTTCATCATCATTTAACACTTTTCCCACACCGCCATTTTACTGTTTTGCAGAGGTGCTCAGAATACAACGTCAGAAGCATAAACATATAAAGATACAAACATATCCCCCCAAAAAATCCAAATCCCAAAAACCCTCCCTTTTAAAATGCAGGCATTGTACTTTCCCTTTAGGATAAGGTATATGAAAATTAAGGGGGTTTTTAATTTTAAAAAATTTTAAATGTAATAAAGTTAGGGAAGTTATTGTTATTATTATTAAATAGAGGTTGAAAAAAGGAATTCCCAATTTTAAAAAATTTTATTTAATTTTTAGCGCCCCCCCCCGTTTTCCCCCCTGTTTACTTTATCTTTTAAATTTACCCCCCTAAAACCAAAACCCCAAAAAATTTTTTTGACTAATAATTTTATTAATAAACCTTTCCTAATTTACATCCGAATTTTTTGATAATTTAACCCCAATTGTTAAAAGGAATTCCCCCTGTAAGTTTGGCGATTTTCCACCCAAGCTCAACCCATATAAAAAGTGTTGGTACTACTAACTTTATACATTCCTTCTTTGCCTCCAAATAACGTTTTTGACTCCACAATACCCAACGCACCACTCACCTTTTT